AGTTAACTGGAGCAGTTGTGCCCTCCAAAATTGCAGACTACCAATTTCCAGACACGTGAATTTTGTAGTTATTGATTTCAACAGTTGTCAGGTGTGTGACTTAATCATCTAGTGTAGTTTAAGCCAGAAGGTTATTGCATCATAGCAATGGCTAATAGTAATGAGCAGGCGAGCTGCGTGTTTGCACCTCTATCTCCTCCTCCATCTCAATGCGTTAAAAAGAGCAACCCCGAAACTCCTCACTGCATCTAAAGACCAAACTTTCACCAAGTGGGAGACTGTGTTTTGGGGTTCTACAGCTTCATCGTCTTAGGCTTCACAGGGAAGCATCCAATTCCTTAGATACCTTTTGCCCATTAAGGTAAAATACTACTGTTGTAATGTTATCATTTCTGTGTCACAAATGCAGGAAAGTGATCAAGTACTACCGAACTGGTAACTTAGTAGTACTGTACCCCAGCTTGGAATGATTTTCTGGGGGAGAAATGTGTTTTCCTACATAAAATTAGGAGCACCCAGTGGTCTCTCTGCAAGCATTTAGAATTTCCTTTTTCCTGCACTTGTATCCTACCGAAAGAAGTTTGTTTTAATGCAACACTACAATAATGAGCTACCTAAAGCACATGGTCAGTAGCCAAAATTATTAAAAATGAATAATAAATCCTGGAAACTGCTAGATCTGAATCTATCAGAGCTGCAGTTGAACTTATCCAACAATGGCCTGTAATGCATGTAGGGAAAAGGGTGGCTGTAAGATTTGAAGTACTGTGCAGAAATTCAAACTGGCCTAAAATCATGACTGAGCAGGTCTCAGACTCTGGTTAAAACCACAGGTGGTGGTGAAAGCAAAGGCACTGCAATGAGAATGAGAAAAATACCTCATCCTAAGGTGTTAAATCCTTTCCCATTTACGTCAATATGAAAACTTTCTGAAACTTTAAGGCTGTCATGTCAACAAGGAAATCCAATCTCTCGCATGCACAGTACTGTTTGCTATTACTGCAGTGAGTTCATTTTATATTTACACTTGTTTCCTCTAGAAAAGGGCATATGTTCATTATCTAGATAGCTTCAGCTCAGACCAGCATGAGCTCACATTTTCCCTAAACAATGTGTAGCTTCTGTTTATACCATCACAGTTAAGATGAAGCAAGTTGCAACTGGATTTTGACTTTGACTTATCAAAGCAGTGTGAAAAATATAAGCAAGTCTAGCTTTAGTAAATATGTGTATAAATGGTTATTAAGATATCGAGTACCAGCAGAGGCGGGCGATGGTGATACTGATAATGACGTATCACAATAATGGAAAAACAGAACACACACATATATATATAAATAAATACATAAATTTATATTATATGCCTGTGTGCGCATGTGCATGTTTGAGTTTGTGTGTCTGTGTGGGTGTGTAGGTCATTCACTGTCCCTCGGGTGGTGGCATGTTGACATATATCAGGCAGCCAATCATGCCCTGTGTCCTTCTCCTGGGAATATATTTTTATTTTGAAATGTTGCTTAGCTCGTGGAAATTTGGAATTACAGAAGTGAAGTGGTTTAAGTAAGTGTTCCTTACTTCATTGAATGATTTCCATTCCAGGAGGAAATGTGTCTTTGTTTCAAACTGACCAGTCAAACACTGATCGCATGTTCTGTGTCCTTGCGTTAAGAGCTGTCTCTACTTTCTATCTAAGACTGTTTTTCTTACATAGATTTATTTGAATTTTGTTATAATTAATTGTCTCTGGCTGGTGTTTGGAAAGCAGTGTTTTTGTGAGACCGATCAGGCTCATTCTTTGGGTTTGGAGGGCTTTAGAATGGAGTGCGTCTTAGGGGCTGGACTTAGGGTGATCAAAAATGTTTTACTTTATTTAATTCAATCTAATTATCAGTGGGTGTCTTCCTAATTCTGCTGGACAGGCATCACTTAGTGCTTTTCTGTGTATGCATAAAATGTATCTGTGGAATTCTGGGTGTTTATTTGAACAGATTATAGCTCTGATGACTGAGTGAACCCTGTACTTCAAACGGTACAGTACACACCATAACATTATCAAATGTTTCAACGGCAGATTTTCATTGGAATTTGCTCTAATTTAAATGAGAGCTTTCTCTTTTTTCTTTATTCCCTCTCTCACACACACACACAGCTAACCAAGTCTTCACTCTAAAGTTTCTTGTGCTATCTAGAGAGACTATAAAAACAAAAAGTATATTGTTATAGTTATATTTTAATAAAATTAGATGTGGAAAAGATGACTTAACTTTTCTACTTTGACACTATTTTTAAACTGAGGTTTTTATGTTGTTGTAGCCAGCTGTGAGGTCCGTTTTAAAATGCGGACAGTGACCAGTTCAATCTTTCACAGTTAGCCGTCTGTTTTTTTATATTGTCTTTATTTTAGTATAACTAGTTTAGCTTAGTATACAGATACAGCCACTCAATATTGCTGCTTTCAGTCCGATAATTTTCTCAGTATTATTTTTATAAAGGTCTTTGCCTTATAATTGTTTTGTACCTTAGGGTGGAATGTTTCTTCAAGTTCTGTTTTAACCTTGCAACCATCCAAATCTAAGTGTATTCCACCTGTGTTAACTTGATAGGTGAGTAACTCTTATCAGCTGTTTAGGTTGTTTATGAGGGCTAGGCTGGGTCTTTGAAAATGTGAGCAAACAAACGAAGCAACCTCATGGTGCCTTCCTGAAAGCGGGGCATTAGAAGACTGGCAAAAAATGGAGTCTATGCTACTATGTAAATTCCATATATTTAAGATTTTTCCCACTTGATAGTGAGCTTTTGTTCTTTCTGTTGAAACCTTCAATTTGTTTCAAGGAGAGCAGCACATGCTCTCACAGTTACCACAAGATAAAAAAAACTGACATTCTGATGTCGGGGTTTCATGAACGCTGCGCTGAAAACTGTTTCTGTGACTGACCTTCTCTGACCTTAATGCACTAAACAGAAATGTTCTGGTTTGTCAGATCATTGCAAGTTGAAATGACTTCTGCATAGTTTTGGGTGACACTCTGTAGCTTTTATCTTAATTTCTTCTCCTACAATAATTTAATTATTTCCATGTGTTAGGTATTGTGTTGTTTGTTGTACCCTCTGTTTGTTAGGAGGTTCTCAAATATATTTTACCTTCGCGATCTGTACCGAAATAACTTGCAAAATGAATAAAACCTCTTAAATTAACTTAATCTTAGATAGGTACTTAATTTGTTGAATCTAACTGAAAGTTAACAGGCTACATTTTTCAAGAAATGATTTCTTTGACATTACTTCTGTTATGGCAGGACAGGTTAAATATTTTCCCTGTGGGATACTGGTAAAACAGTACTGAGTATTTTCCTGGGTATCTGAGATACGCATCAACAAGTTCACTTCTGAATGATTTAAAAAAAAAGAAAGAAACACACACACACATAAACAAAAGGAAGGTTTTGGAGTGGTCTAGTCAAATTCTTACATCACAATGAGATGCTATGGTGAGACCTTAAACAGGCTGTTTATACAGGAAAAGCCTTCATCATAGCGAACTCAAAATCAATTCTGCAAAGACGAGTGGCTGAAATTCCTCGACAGTGAAGTTATTATTATTTCACGTTAGAGCAGTTGATAGTTGATTGCAATTCCTGTTGCCAAGTGTGGAGCAACCAGTTACTTTTTTACAATTACTGTTTTACAGGAAGGAAATTCTGGATATTTTTGGCTCTTAATAAGTTAAATCATCTTTTAAAAACTGCAATTTGCATTTATTTGGGGTTTTTGTCTAATAATACAATTTGTTTGATGGTCTGAGAAATCAGAAAAGGGCCAATACTTTGTCATAGCACTGTCCGTGTGTACACAGACATACAAAGATACACTGTACTTGTACAAAGTGATCTCAAACCTTTCTTTTTTGCGTTGAATCATCAAAAAAGGATTTAAAAAAAAACCTTCACCACCTTGCACTACATTTAACAAACTTAAACATTCAAAAAATATATATTTAAAAAAACTTGTCTTTTTTGGTACCTGATGTGTTTGTGACAAAAAAGCGCATCAGGTACCACTAAGAATGTTCATTTATTCACCATTATTGTTTAAGGGAGCCACATATTGCCACATATTTCTATTCTTTAGTAATACTAGGATTTTGATGATGGAGCCGAACTGAACTAAAAATCTGGAGCTTCAGAAGGAGGGAGAGACGCAGCCTGTTTTACATGCAGCCAAATCCACTTGTTCAGCGAGCTGATTGGACAGAATAGACAGAATGTCTACAGAAATTTTGACACCTGGGAAAGCTATCTTTTCCCTGTGCGCTCACACAGAGACATTTTCAAGTTACTTCCCTCGATCAGCCCTATTATATATAATTATCGAAATGTTTGTCTAAAATGCACTCGTTAATTTTACTTTGTAATGGTGCTAGATTAATGTCCGAATATAACATCCAAAAACCTGACGTTAATACTGCCCACAGCCTGGTGCGCATTTACGCACATGGCCTAAAAACCCTGTCTTAATTAAACTGCGGATAACTCGAGATGTGACGTTAAATACATTTTTGTGTCTTCACACATACAGGCCAGCTGGTAGACACTGACTTCAGGTTTATATAGTGAAATAGTATTTATTTATTTATTTTTAAAATAAACAAACAAACTTTTCCTCCTCCTTGTATATAAATGATTCTATTAACAGCTATCACGAAAAACCTCCTCCAGTCATGTGCGCATTTTTGCGATTGCAGCAAACGGAATGCCGATGCCTGTAATATTTACTAGAGTATTCACATCAAGCCAAAACACCTGCAAATGTCCCCGTGCTCTAAATAATATATAGCAACGATTTTGTAACATACCGGGTCAGACATCGTGTTAAGAATGAACTATTAAAATGTCAATACAGAAGAGAGGCGAGCATCAGGGAAGCTAAAGGAACTGCCTGTGAGATGCTCTTTTAACGGAGGAGACAAACAGAGGAGGGAGGGAGAGAGATGTCATGCTTACCTTCTTGAAGAAGGTTGTTGCCCGTTGTTGGCAGGTGGTGGTCCAGGGAAAACCCGCTCAGTTGGCAGCTCAGCCATTGCCTTTACTGTAGCACTTAGAGTAAATTATTTGATCCTCTTCAGTACACTGAAACATACACACTTGTCATGGAGTTTGCAACAGCTAGTTGATAACTCCAGTGTTATGGAAAAAAGTAGGTTCTTAAATTTGCTCTCAAAAACTTACTGAAGCTACAGATGTCAGTTTAGAAAATTTACCTTGTTTGTCTCCAGTCCTCCCAAACGCTTCTTTCAGAGCTGCCTTCTTGAGGATGTTGCAGAAAAACTTTATATTTCTAATTAAACCTGCGCTTTAGCAGATTCAGCTTTATGGAGAAAGGCTGCAGGATGCCGAGATTCCAGAAGAGGAACCCTGTCTTTTACGCAGCTTCATGCCCCGCCCCTGTCTACGTTTGTGCGAAATAAAGCTTCTTCATTGGCGCAACTGCGCACAATTAGCATACATGTCAATAAATAAAGGCTGATATTGTTTCATGCAAATATTTGCATGGTTAAAATACAGTCAAACAACTAGTTGCAGCTAGTTTTATACATGTAGTTAGCAGCGTGTGCGCTTAAGATGTTATGCTAACGGCTATGGAAAACAACAGCAGGCCTGCTGGCGCAGTCTAACCTTTGCAAAGCTAATGCTACTAAATTTAATACCAACACAGTCCCATAGTTAATGCTAGGCTTTTTTTCCTCTACCTCCTCTGTGTTAGCCCTCATCAAGCTGACAGCATTAACTTTATCCAGCATTGCTAGCGTTAACTATCTTCACAGTGACATGCTACGTTCAGACAGAAATGTCTTTTTTTTATCAGATAAAAGTTTCAAATTCATTAACAGACGCCAGCACAGGAAACATTGGGCCTGTAGTTAATTCTTACCCACACTTATAGTTAGCTAGTAGTTTTAAAACAGAATAGAACAAAATGTCCAATTTCGACCTTTGTAATATTTAAATCTAGTCTGGAATGTCTGGTCCCATATCTACACTTACATTTCTTCCTCCAATGAAATGAAGAAAACAGGAAAACAGATGACTAAATCAATAATCCATCCTCTTCCATGCTAATGCCCTCCACACTGGACTGAATGAATTTGTGCTCAGCCATTCACTGTACTGTACAGACGAATAGAAGCTGTCATTGTCAAAAATAAACCTATTTAGTTAAATCCTGTATTATTATCATCATCATCATCATCATCATCATCATTATTATTATTATTGTTATTATTATTATTATTATTATTATTATTATTATTATTGACCTGACAAAGTGTGTTACTGATACAGTTTTTTTCTGTCTGTTTTTTGTTACTTTGTTTAAAGGTGACTTGTGATTTAATTATCTCAGTTTACTTGGACTTCTTTATGATAAAGCCAGTATGACTAAATTCAGCCACCAGTCTTCCTCAAAGTTGTGAGAGAGGTGTTGATTTTTATAAAAAGTGTGTTAAGTGTCCTTTGTTTCTCTTGGCAGTTTCTCTGCATTTGAACTCTTTAGCTCGTCGTGCTTTTTAATATATAGATTTGCCGAAACAAAACAAAAAAACACAGCACATCATTTTCTGCACTTTTCTCTGTTTCTCTGTCAAAGGGTGTCAGGGTACTCATTCTAGCTGTTTAAACATTCACACGTGTTGTCCTACATACAGCATGTATGTATAACTAGAAAAAGTTGAATCATAACTATAGTCTGTTAAAGCATCCACTCATTCACAAGGTGACTGACCTGATCAAAGTCTAGAGAACTTAGATGTAGAGGATAAATTTTCATCATACCACAAAGCTTTTTATTAAACTTTAGCCCATCTTTGTCTCTACCACTGACTTTACTGCAAATAAATTCAGTGATGCTCTTGTCAGTAAGTATTATCCTGTTACAACAGCCCTACTGAATCCCAGTGAACTCCTAACCTCTTTCAATAATCATTGTCATGTAGCTGAACTGAAATGCAATGTTAAAACTCACACTCCTCCCTGCATGACTAATTATCTAGATTACTTAACCCTTTATTGGGCAATTTTCAGCCTAAAAACACTATCCCTCTTATCTTGATCACTTAATGTTTTTGAAATTGGATTGTAATCAGAGGTTATCTGAAAACACAGTAATCCTCACTCACTGCCAACTAAAAACACTGCCAGTTTCAAACCATTAATCATTCATAGACATCATGTCAGCAAGGTTGGGGGGGTGGGGGTTGTTTTTTTAAACAGATACCAGTTGACTCTTTTACTTATAAACAGTTCTTCACTTCTGGTATTTTTCCAGCTGTTTTTGGACATAGAATCATTCATCTGCTACTGAGAAAGCTCAATTAGCATTCCCAGGGGGCGTTTTGATTGTTTTCAATGATCGACAGAGGTGACTGCTCAATGTTTGTGCTTTTATATTTGATTACTGCCTTGGATACTTTTGCTCACTGTTTTCTCATGCTCTGTCTATTAAGCACACCCCACTTGCCCATTTTGTTTGTGGTGTTCCTGAATACTTTATTTTTTATGTATTCATTTATGTATTATTTCATTAAAGGCAATTTTCAGGCCTACCAATCACATTAAGCTCTTTTAAAGCTTCAGTTAAGTCATTGTAACCCCACACCCCAGATATCAAATTTGACAGATTTTTAAGTGTCCAGGACCCTCTTAGGGACACTCCCAATAGGGGTTAAAAATCTGGGACTCTCCACCAATTGCTCTTAGAGCTGAAAAAGCTCCTCGGATGAGAAGTGAAACAGCTTCAAGAAACTTGAAGAAGTCCAGACGCGTTTCTTTCCGAGCTCAGTCACCTCAAGGAACTTTATATTGTAAGGTAAAGACTCTACAATAACAACTAAGGCTATTTATGGAATGACTATTAGGTCTTCTTCAAGCCAGCCATTTTCCAAATGTCCAGAAGTTTCATATTTATGGTCTAACTTCATTGGTTGAAAGGGCTTACACCCCTTTTTTGTTCAGTTCCTCCCTTCCACTTCTTTAACATATTATCCAAAGTACCCTGCCAAATACTTTTTAATGTGTCTTACAAGGGACCATGCTTTATATTGCATACTGTTATAAATGTAATATGCAACTACAATGCTGCTGTTATATTAGTCTATGTACAAGAGTTCTTCTGGTAGAAATGCATTTATTAAGTCATCCGAAGTCTGCAGGAATTAAGTCTGCACATGTGTGCACGTGTGTGCACGTGTGCCCGCTGCTTGGAATAGCCAAGCCATGTGATTCTTCTGGAGTCTATTTCAGATCACCTACTGTCCAAAGCCCCACAGTCTTCACAGCAGCTTAAAGAAAAGTTAACAAATGCACAGTTTAATCCTTCTGTCGTCACTTATCATTTCATCAGGAGTTGTTAGGTCGAGTGCTGAAGTGTACCTGTAGGTGTGTTTGAGTAAGTACTCTGTTCTTTTTCTGCCTTCACAACAAACAGGTTACTTTGACATAAGGTTCAGAAGGCGTATTTTAGTTGGTTTTGAATGATCAGATTTCATTCAATTTGAACAAAATCTGACAAAATGTAGATTTTTCGACAGAAAGTTGTGACCCCAGACTGACCCATATACTCAAGTCAGTCAGGGGTTGTGTGATATATATAGGTCATTTTCATTGGTTTGTTTATTTTTTTTTCTGCAACGACTTTATGACTGCACCAGAACATTTTTTAAAATCTTTACACTAAATTGGATTTTTATTACAAATTTGTATTTATGAGCTTCTGAGATCATAGACAGATGCAGCATGTGCAATGCTGTGATACTCAAAGCAGTATGCAGTATTAGTGCTTCTGGTTTAGTCCCGGATTTTAATAGATTATTTGTACAATGGTTGTTCTTAAGATGAATAAAGCATATCATTTCTCAACTTTTACTTGCGTATTGTTACTTTTCTACATGTCTATACACGTTAACCATTCACTTTCATTTGCTGAATGAGTGAAATAATGTAGGGTTAATACATGGCATGCAGATTGTCTGACAGCAGTAGCACTTTTGGGGTCTCATTAAGGAGAAATGGCAACCTGAAGTCACATTTTACTTTGAAAAAATGCTAGTTTTTTATGTCATGCAGTATATGAATCAGATATATCAATTCTGTAATTGAAGGCTGGAACTAACACTTATCTTCACTTTTGATTATATTCTTTATCAACTGTTTTGTCTGTAAATGTCAGAATCGACCAGGAAAATATTAACATTTGATTTTCTCATTTAACTAATAAAGGACCAATTGGTGTGTATCTAATCAAAAGGCATATGTTCATTATCTAGGCCCTTAATAGTGGAAAATAGAAGAGGCAGTCACCTATGAAAATCTAATAAATGGCCATCGAGCTTACTGTTGCACGTGTATCATCATTTATAATCACTGACAACATGCAAACTATAGTGACCTCTACAACACTGCTGCAGGTGTGACTTCTGTAGCAGTTTCACTTTGATAATGGTGGACAGCTTGATGCAACAAGGAATAGAATAATTTCATTGTGCCAGCACATTACTAAATTTTCCCCAATTGTTTAATGTAAATATGAGTTATTGTATTTTCTTGCCTTTTTACAAAGATTCTATGTTTTTTTTATTTTTAGATCTGCTAAGATTGGTTTTTAGTTCAGTGACATGAAAATATCTGTACAGTGTTTTTTGTACTGAGCAGTTATTTTCATTTATTCCCTAAAATGCGGCTGGTTGCGTGTGATATTATATTTGTATTTATATATGCTATATTTTACAGCGTCATCTAAGTCGGCTTTAGATATATGTGTGTAATTTTGCTTGGTTTGGATACAAGCTCATTTATTAGACATTTTTATACAGTGTAATTCATAATTAACGTGTGATGTGCTAGGCCGGAAAATTGAATGTGAGCCTGATTATTCTCAGAGGTAAGTGAGACGACGGTGTTCTCACATCAGCTTGTCCTTGGGTAGAAGTTTCCGTGAGCTGTGGCAAAACTGTTGCACTGTCCACATGACCTCTTGTGTTCATATCCTTAGGTCAGTGCATTCTCACAAGGTGTCTGGATACTTGTCAGGCTGCTACTCTCTGTTACTTGTGTTTATCTTGTGCAAATGAATTAGCTGTATGATCCAAACATGGGCTAAACAGTAACAATCCTGGCAGATACTTTTAGTTTATTTTCTGCAATGAGTAATGCACTATAATGAGCTTCCTTAGCTATTGTCAGAAATTGGAGTCCTTTGTTGAAACAGGGGATATGAAAAACTAAGCGTGTTTTGTAAACTTACTGTCTTTCATCTTTAGGTTGTGACCTCTGAACCCCTAAACCTATTGCTGAGACCAGAGTGTGATCCATGGCTATAAAGAGCCTTCTGCACGCTGCTTCCACTTTCAGGAAGCAGCTGATGAGGGTGAAGGTGGTAAACTCTAACTGCGAGGACTCCCGTCTGTGCCGATGTCTCAACACCTTTGACCTGGTAGCACTCGGTGTGGGCAGTACATTGGGTGCTGGTGTTTATGTGCTCGCTGGTGCTGTTGCAAGAGAGAATTCTGGCAAGTGACATTACTTTTGATAGTGAAAACATGTGTAATGAGGAAAAACCTGAAAGTTTTTAATCATATAATTCCCACCACCTTCCACAGGTCCCGCTATTGTGCTGTCATTCCTGATAGCAGCTATAGCGTCAGTGTTAGCCGGGCTTTGCTACGCTGAGTTTGGAGCCCGTGTTCCCAAAACAGGCTCGGCTTATCTGTACTCCTATGTGACTGTAGGGGAGCTGTGGGCCTTCATCACTGGATGGAATCTCATTCTCTCCTACGTCATTGGTAAGCATAAAGCAGCACTGCTTTATTGTTTCTGTTTTGTCTAGTTTAAGGTCATGTGTAGGAAGAAATTTGTCTTCAAGAATGTTTTTTTCTTCGTCTCAGGTGCCTCCAGCGTGGCTCGTGCATGGAGCGCCACCTTTGATGAGTTGATAGGGAACCCCATAGGGCAGTTCTGCAGACAGTACATGGCCCTGAATGTACCAGGAGCACTGGCAGAGTATCCTGACATATTTGGTGCTTTCATCATAATCATTCTTACAAGTAAGAAGACATAGAAAAGATTTAATATTACACTTAACACATTTTCCTAAGACATTTTTCATTTTCCATTTCTTTGTCCTTTGCAATTCTAAGGTCTGCTGGCATTTGGGGTCAAAGAATCAGCAATGGTGAACAAGGTCTTCACTTGTATCAATGTCCTAGTCTTGGTGTTCATGGTGATCTCTGGATTCGTCAAAGGCACTATTAAAAACTGGCAGCTAGACCCTGAAGAGATCCTACATGCAAGTTATACAACAAACAGCACCAAGTAAGGACATATTCAATGCTGAATCTTTCCCTTTAAATGTCTCTGTTACTCTATTTTTTTTAATCTGGATGACATTCTTTTAGAACTATATTTCATATTATTTATATTCCTCTGATTTAGTGTGACAGACGTTCTGCCAAGCGCAGAGAGTTTAGGAATCGGCGGCTTCATGCCATTTGGATTCACCGGTGTCCTGTCAGGAGCCGCTACCTGTTTCTATGGATTTGTGGGATTTGACTGCATTGCTACCACAGGTTAGTGCTGATCTGACCTGAAAACACAAACTCTTTTGACCTTCTGTTTTTGACTCCCTCTGCTCCACGTCTCACAGTTTCACATACATATCCCTTTGACGGCCTCATGGATGTGTTTCCATTTTCAGGGAGAGAGGGGGGAATGTTACTCAATCTTTTTGGAACCGTTTCAGCCCCGAGTTTTCCTAAACATCCAGAAGTATTACATAACAGGGGGCAAGAGAGAAATTAAAGATGCATTTTACTGCGTTTGGCTCATTTCTGCTACTGGCTGAAGGCCAAAAGACTGCTACTGAGGTTAGGGGGGAACAAACAGGGTTTTGGAAGAGGGCATTCCAGAGGTTTTTCCCTGAGTTTTGCAGAGTTTGTGAACAGGCTTGTTTCTTCATACATGTTACAAGGTTTTTCCCACCCATAAGTTTTCTGAATTTTAACTGGCTGGCAAGCTGACCAGTTAGCCTTAAATTACAATTGTTAGACATAACACAAAGTCACAATGATCTTTTTGCATGCGTGTGTGTGTGTGTGGCAGTAAGAGTTAAGTTGGCATGAACTCCATTTCCCCCTGACACACACACACACAGACACACACAAACACACATATCATCCACACAGCAGTTGTCTCCGTCACGTTTCAGAGCTCTTTTATTTTACAGTACTTTGGGCCTGCTTTGACACGTAACTGTCCGTCTTATGCACTCGCTCCATCACTGTAATGCGGTTTTATTACACAGCAAGGCCTTCCTACACAATCACCTGCAGCTGAGCAGTTAGGCCTCTCAGCATGGTGGCTCCCCTGAAAAAATAAGCTAATATCTTCAAACCTTGCAATGAACTGGGAGTGGCTAGTAACAAAGACATAGCTGTATAGCAGACAATGGGGCGATTTAAGAAATAACTAAGAAGGTAAAGTAATTTCACTGCTATTTACAGGTTCAGTCAGCCACTTAGCATTCAGTTAATTTCCATAAAATTTTGCATGCACTTCTCGATGCAACTGCAGCACTTCTGCAAATTATGTTACCTTTCTGAATACAGTGTCTGCACCCTGCATTCAAATGGACAATTCTCAGATGAAAGCATAAAACTCCTCCAAAATCTGAATATCCATCCAACAGTAGAGTTTGTACCGTGTTCTGTGTTTTTGTTCCACTGAATTTTCACATATTCACTTTTCTGCCTCATGTTCAAACGCTAAAAGTAAGAATTTCTGTCTTCTGACGATGTTTTTCAAATATAAATATAAGCAAAAAATGGCACATTACCTGAAGATATTTCTGCACCCATTGACGTCATACAGAAGCAGATTTGCATATCTTGGCTCTTAACTGTGTCTGTATATTATATATGTCCTAGGTGAAGAGGTGAAGAACCCCCAGCGAGCCATTCCTTTTGGTATCGTATCCTCATTGCTCATCTGCTTTGTGATCTACTTCAGCGTTTCTGGTGCTCTCACCCTCATGATGCCATACTACCTGCTGGACAGCAACAGCCCTCTGCCTACAGCTTTTAATTATGTGGGCTGGGGGGGCGCGAAATATGCTGTAGCTGTAGGCTCTCTTTGCGCTCTGTCTACAAGGTAAGAGATTTGAACTTAGAAGCACAATGAACATGTACTAGATCTTGCTGAGTAAACTTTGAACTGATTACCACTAAGATAAGCAACTGTGAATACCAGTAGGTATTCTATTAGGCTGAGGAATATAAATTTGTTCCTTGTGGACCATGACATTTATTCAGCATTGTCCACTCAGTCATCATTAGCCAACTGCAATTTTCTTTTAAAAAATCAAACTGGAATCCTATAAAAATATAGATGTTTGAATGGGGAAATGAAACACTGTCACTCAGCTGCTACAGCTGCAGCAGAAGGGCAGGAGTCAGTAACCGACTCAGAGTTTAAGCTCCTGTTTTTTGGAACAGAAAATCCAGAATTTCCCCTATTTCAGGATTAGCAAACTCAGAATCACTCATCTGCTTTCTGGAGCGTAACCAAAGACTATCATTCATTTTAAATGCACAGTTGTGTACACGGTTCTGTCTCAGATAACTACACACACACACACACACACACACACACACATATATTTATGTTTGTGTTCCTGAGCGAGAGTGTATATTTAACTTCGGAAAGCATTTGATGCCTTAACTAAAAATAAAACATGCTGCTGAGAATATAGCTGCACCATCACTGTGTGAAGGCGATTATGTAACAGGGACTCAGAAAGGCTAAGGCAGGTGACATTTTTTTTTGCTAACAATTAGTTTCTAATCACTTTAAATGATGGTCCATATATGTTATATTTAGCTATTAATAATAGCAACAATCAACCAATATTTTATTCATGATAGAACATAGAAAACATATCAAATGTTTAAACTGAGTATTTTACTATTTCATGATAAAAAATACGATACAATGATAATTTTGAATTTGATGACAACAGACTGGGCATGGGTGCAACAAACGGCTGAAAAAGAACATTTTGATATTATCTTAAATGGTTAATCGCTGCACGAAAGGCAATAGCCAGAAATCAATATTGGAAGCTCGTGTGCTTCGGCCCCTCAGGCAACACCGCATTAAAACCAGGCATGATTCACAAAGGTTAAAGCTCTATTATGCAGAGAAGAAACTATTTATGAACATGATCTAGAAATGCTGTCTTCTCTGGGCCAAAGCTGTGGTCCAGTGAAATGCAATTTGAAATTCCCTTAGGTAAACTTGGACACCATGTCCTTTGGACTAATGAAGAGGGAGACTATGCATGCTGTCATCGCTGTGTCCAAAAGTATGTATCTCTGATTTTAAGGGGATGCATTAGTGCATTAGTACATTAAAGGTTTTATAGCGACATATGCTCAGGAAAAGACTTGCATATCTCAGCAAGATTGTGTTAAACCACTTCTTGAAACACTTAGAACTGCATGGCTTCATCGTAGCAGAGGGTGCTCAAAGGGCCTACTTGGAGTCCAGACCTTTCACCAGCTGAAAAGATTAACATGAAACATTTTTTCTCCGATCATCACAAAAAGGTCGTGGCAGATGGCTGTCGCTCCCTGAGCCTGGTTCTGCCAGAGGGTTTCTTACTGTTAAAAGGGAGTTTTGTCACCAAGTGCTTGCTGAAAGGTATTTGAGCAAGCACTTGGTATTATTGTAAGGTCCATATCTTTCAGTATAAAGAGTCTTGAGGCGCTGTTTTTATGAATTGGTGCTATAAAAAAAAATGAATTGAAAATGAACGTGTAGTGAAAAACACGATAAACAAGACCCAGGGCTGTTGAACAGCTCAAATCCTATATCAGATAAGAGTGAGATAACATTCCTCTTTCAAAGGTTCAGCAGCTGATCTCCTCAGTTCTCGAATGTTTCGAGACTGTTGTTAAAAGAAGAGAGGATGCCACACAGTGGCAAACAACATGGCCCTGTCCCATCTTTACTAAGACATATTAAATTCAGCTAATATTAAATATAAAAATGAGCTAATATCTTTGTTTTAATGGTACATTTTCTCAGTTTAAACATTGATTTTTTTCATGTTTTATTGTGAATAAAATATGGGTGCATAAGATCTGCAAAACATTGCATTATTGTTATTTACATATTACAAAGTTACATTACAAAGTGTTGCACATGTGTTCCTAACTTAAAATGTATGCACAACATATTTAAGTATCTTGTGTTCTGTTTTTTTTTTTATTTATTTTTTTGTCTTAATCTGCTGTATCTATGTTGAATGTGATGCTCCTTGCATATGTGTGCTGTTGTCTTTGCTTATGCATGTTTCACATGGTTGCTCGTGTGGATACTTTATATTTTGGTACGCCCTTCCCCCCATGTTAGCTTGCTGGGTTGTCTGTACCCTGTTCCTCGTGTGATCATGGCTATGGCTGATGATGGGCTGTTATCAAAGTCCTTGGCCAGGGTCAACTCCTGCACCAAAACCCCACTAAATGCAACTTTTGTCACTTCCTCTCTGGCAGGTGAGATACTAACACGCGTTAGCATTAAAAACTAATTATTAAGTGTTTTACATAGCCAGGTCTCTGTTTAGTTGGCTGAGGGAGTCAAGATTATTGTGTCTATACTATAAGTCTTCCATTGTTTTTTCTATTGGGAAACTTGAGACATATTTTCTAACTTGCATCTTGAGAAGGAGATGTGCAACAGCACTAATCCAAACTAAACCGCATGGTATGTGGACTAAAACTGACAGTAACAGCATGTGCAAAACATGCAGTCATACAATTTTACATGCTGACATCAGAGTATCCTTGTCCCAGCATGTTGTTCTTCAACAGCGTTGCCAGTCTGGCACGCTGCAGCATGTTCTTTAACCCCCAGATCTTACCACCCACATCTGTCTACTTTCTCTGAATCTTCCCTTGGTACTCGCTGACCTTTCCAAATTCTTCTTTCCCCCTTGTCCCTCACGTTACACCAAACCGCTGCCATCACAATACGATGCCCTCCCCCCACCTTTACCCCAGTCTGTTGGGTTCCATGTTCCCCCTACCTCGTATCATCCTTGCTATGGCGCAGGATGGCCTGCTCTTCTCCTTCTTGGCCAACATCAGCGAGAGAAAATCTCCCGTAACATCTACTGTTGCTGCCGGGGCTATATCTGGTAAGATAAAAGGGGCGTTAAATAAAAACGTAAATTCCTGTATTTGAGTAGAGGGACTTGAGAGAGGCAGTGATAGATGGTCAGGTTTGAATTGAAGAGAAAAAGAACAAAGCAGAGACTTTTTGGTTTTTGAAAGATTAAGTTTCAAAACTTTTTATAACTTTTTTTTAATAGAGGCAGCTCTTTTATCGATATCTGATTTTCCAACCTATGGGAATTTTTGCCACCTCCAGCCTATACTTTATCCATTCCCAACTGGGGCACTTTTTAAAACTGAAAACATGCAAACCTTTAATCAAAACTTTAATCAACAGGTTTTTAATGATCTTTTCTTGATTTGTTTTGTTGAGATTGATTTACTATTAACTTCTTTCCTTTCTTAGCCACTGCTTCATTTTTTATCTTTCCCCACCAGTGACATGATATGAGATTTTGTCCCTTTTAAAAAATAGAACGGAAAAATAAGAGTATCATATAAGTGAAATGGAATGACCAGGTGGTTGCTGGTTTCTCTCCATAATGCTATTTTTACCCTATACCCTAATACAGCACCCCAAGAAGATTGTAGTTGTGAAATTTCAAGTACATTTTGAACTCATATAATTATAAATTATAAATTTTTTTGTAGCAAAGATTTCTTTTGTGTGTGGTAAACCTTTGGAACATCAAAGGGTCATGACCCACACTTTGGGAATCACTATTGTGAAAAGAATATGTACATTCAAGCTAGCATCTTTATGAGGCTGTACTCAATGGCATCATTTGAGCTTATGATCAGCATACTTCTATGCTCACAGTAACTGTATAAGCATGCTGAATGTTAGACACATCTTAATTTATTCTTCTAAGACAAGTATGGAAAATAATTGATGGGATCAAACAAGCATTGTCACTTTAAATTTTAATTTTTTGTCTCCTTGTACTGTGAAGTTGTCATGGTGTTAATGTTCGAGTTGAAGGACCTGGTGGACCTGATGTCGATAGGGACGCTGCTAGCCTACACATTAGTGGCTGCCTGTATCCTGGTGCTCAGGTTAGTAAGAATATATCAGCTTGAAGAATTTACTTTGGACACGGTCTGAACATGTTTATAGTTGTTTATGCTAGCCAATAAAACTATTGGAAGCTATTTCAAACATACGCAGCATTGACATTGCTTATAAGCAGGTTCATTGTGTGCTAATGTTGCAGTGTGCATTACCAGCTTTTTCACCGGTGCTACTATTTTAAGTGGCAGGAACACAGAGTACAACTGCTATGTCTGAACACTTCATTATGGGTGTTTGTTCTTGTTGTTTCAGGTACCGGCCCAGCATGGGTTACCAGATTGTCAGTAGCCACGAGGAGATGGAGTTGAATGAGGGCAACATCCTGCCCGGTATGGAAGAGAGGCTCAGCTTCAAAACCTTGCTGTTCCCAGACAACCCCACACCATCCAAACTGTCAGGCTTCACTGTCAACGTCTGTGTCTTTCTCCTCGGTATGTTATTAAACCAGGACTGCTTTAAAATGGCAATAAAATCATACAAATAATGTAAGAAAATCAAGTATAAAGACCTTGTAAAGCACTTTAGTTTTAAATGTGCTGTAGAAATAACATTTATTTGCTTAATCAATAAAATGAAGGTGTTAGATCTTTGGTAAACAACCCAACAAGTGTGCTCACCTTGAATGTAGGTGATGGATTTATTTCCAGTATCTTCACTGTTAAAAATCACATTGCACTTGTGAAGTATTACACATAAGATAATAACATTTCTTTAATTTTAAAGGAATGCTGATGCTGGCATTCAGTGTTCTGGCATCTTATGGAGATCTTGCTTCGTGGAATTTGGTAGCCCTCAGCGTCATCTTCATGATGTGTCTTTTCGTGGTCTTCATCATCTGGAGACAGCCCCAGAACCACACTAAACTCTCCTTCAAGGTTTGATTTAAGCCCTTTCAGCACGACCTCTGCCCCCTGAGAGTTCACGCTTGCTAAGTTTTAATGGATACTGTTACGCTTTCTCCTTTTGTGGTATTTGTCTCCCAGGTGCCCATGCTGCCCTTCATTCCAGTGATCAGCATGTTTGTCAATATCTACCTGATGATGCAGCTTGAAGAACGCACTTGGGTTAAATTCTCAATCTGGATGGCCATAGGTAGTTACACTCCATCGTTCTTTTTTTAACTGCAAGAATTCTGCTCACTACACTTACCTAGGATGACGCTGAAAACTCTCACACACCCAGCTGACTATTTTACTTGCTTTAGCTGCTTGAAATGGGCTAGCTGCTTTGACTTGACATTGCAATGTGTTCGCAGACCGATCTGAAACATTTGCAAAACATGAGTAAACATACTTTGTCAGTTGGTTGCGAAAATGTCGATGTTATTAAAAAGATACATGTTTTTAGACTGAAAAGTTCAGCAGGTGTATTTGCATTGAAAAGCTAGGATTCCATAACACCGGAACCAATCAAAAAACAAACTGCCAACAAAATAGCTTTTAAACTAATTATATCCTGCAAGTAAAGTTAAGTTCTTTTTGCCTTTCCAGGTTTCGCGATCTACTTCGGCTATGGTATCCATCACAGCACCCTGTCAGCTGCAGCTCATTCGACTCCGGACACAGAGATGATGGGCTTAGGGCTTAACCACAAGTCAGCATCACCAGAAAAGGAAGCCTTTCTGTCCAATGGCATTGATGTAAGGGAAGAGAATGATGGAGGTTTGTAGGAATTTGCAAATCTCCATCATCAGATCACGCTGCTTCCAAGACATGCATCCTTGATAGCCAGCAGTCAGTCTGTGTCAGCCCACTGGCAGAACTTTCTTTTAGGGAAGGTAAAGATAAATACCTCATACCTAAAATTCACAAACTTCTGACTTACTTCTTCAGCTGCAGTGAGAACACAGCCATAACTGACATGTTCTGTATTTTGCAATAAGGTTCAGATTCAAGTGCCAATTATTACTTGACTATCAGGAATTAGGGCTTATGTTGGAGAAACAGAATACATCATTGTCTTAAAGAGGTTGGGGGGGGCATAGTCTCTGTTTCTTTTCATATTGGGTTGTACTTATGTCTACAACCTGTGTCTGAGCCACATTTTTGACAGCAGGAATATGTACAAAAGCCAATGTGTGGGTGCCAGAAAGGTCTGCAATGATCAATGATGGATGGATTTTTGTTGTTGTTGTTGATGATGATGATGTTTGTTTGTTGTATCAAAAGTTCATCAGTTAGGTTCATGAGTTTTTGTTGGACAATGACACATTTTTTAGTGCTTTTGCCTCCATTCTGTACCAAGAAATTTTAAATCAAATGATCAAGATGTGAATCAAGGGAAGTGCAGACTTTAATTCAAAGTGTTTATACATAGGTCTGAATTTAATTATCAGGGGGGAAAAACCCTGGAGAAATTAACAAGGGTTGCTTTTAATAACTGGGCAAAAATCTTTTACAGTCAGTGATGGTCTGACATCCAGAAATTAGTTCAGTTTTTTCTTCTGAAAGTGTAAACTATCCTATGTTGGCTTGAGGTAACTGATATGGCCATTAAAGAACATAGCCTTTCTTTGCCTTGAGAAAGTTGCTTTTGCAGAATGTGTTTGGTCATTATCCAGTTTGCACTGCGAAGTGTCCATTGTACAACCGGGTTGAATTGGATGTAGAGTACAGCCCTGCATGCTTCACAGTTCATCCTGCTACTTATATCAGCAGCTAAATTGTCATCAATAAACTCTAGTAAACTGGTTCTATTGGCAGCCATACATGCTCATGCCATAACACTGACTCCACCGTGTTTGACAGATGATGTGTTATGCTTTGGATCATGAGTTGTTTTTTTCCTGCTTCACTATCCTTTTCCCATTATTATTTGCTTTATTACTTGGCATATCTGTGACATAATTATTCACTAGCAGAAATCTATGGTCAGCTCATTGTCTGGATGTATAAAAGCACCGTTTCTATATGTGAAAAATTTTCATTGATGCCTTTTGAGGTCCAAAACTTGGTCCTCATGTTCAGTTGTGGTTTAACAGTACAGTTTTAATGCAGTGGTATGTTTGTTTATATCTTTGTTTTCTCAAGCAGCAATCATGAAACATTGTAAAGCAAAGGTCTGCAACGCAGAATGTAATACACAAACTAATGTTCCAGGAGTAAATCTAACTTCTGAATCTTTGTACATGTTTAGGATGAAGGCAATGACAGTTTCAGATTTTCAGTTCATGTCCTCCAACTTTAAGTGACAGTGGATTTTCACAGTGCTGGCTGCTGTATCTTTGCATTTGTGGTTTGTAGCATGTATTTTCTAATACAAAATAAGAGAGGCCAAATTTTTACCACTTGTTTGTTTTTTCTAATCAAATGAAATGTCTCTTTTGAGGAAGTTATATGTCCGCCATTCATTTTACATGTTTTCTCCTGTTTATTGATGTGTTTTAATACCCATGCTGAATTTTTACAAATGTAATTGGATACTGTTTGGCTGAGTTTTACACCACTGTCATTAAAATATGTGACACACACAAACTGAACTTAATAAAAATTTGATTGTATGTTCAAAATGACTGGCTTCATGTTTTATTTCTTTAAACATGGTTTTCACTATCAAAATTATGCTTGCATTTTGAATGAAAGAAGCAGTGAAGCAGTGCATGATTGCCGGCATTGTTTCCACCACTTTTCAGTGCGTCTGTTTTTCGAAAGATCTTGATATTGACCGGAGGCATAAAAATGTTAATCTACTTAGCAGTGGGTGATTATTTCAGATGAACTATATAGACAAAACTACACATTACACCTGCAAGAGCTTTGATGACAAGAGTTCTAAATGTAGTCGACTTTTGTAGCTAGATGTAACAACTTCCACTCTCCTGGGAAGACTTTCTGCAAGAATGCATTTATGGAAAGTTTTGGCCATTAATCCAAAAGAACATTTGTGAGGTCAGACACTGATGTTGGACATTTGGAGTTTTTCTGCTAGTTTAGTGTTTAATGAGACTGAGGACAAGGCTCTGTGTTCGCCAGTCAGGTTCTTTCACAATAAACACATCCAACTATATGAATCTCGCTTTGTGCAAAGCAGAAGCGGGATCTAAATACTGTGTTCCCTAAACTCTGAACTGTTCCCACAAAGACGGAAGCAGAGACTTGTCTAAAATGTCTTGATAACCTGAAGCATTAAGATATTCCTTCACTGGATCTAATGAGCCCAGGGCCAGCCACAGGGAAGCTATAATTATGGGTGTGGATACAATTGATTTCTTTAACTGTAGATGGCAGATCTTTAACTTTTCACACATATCATAGTTTCACTGCTTTTGTAGTTCTTTAATTACAGTTTTATAGCCAAAGCACTTCCTGTAATTTTATAAAAGGAATTTAACTCAAAGGAATCTACATGTTGTGCCAAATCTCAGTATTTAGGAAAAAACTATGTATGGACCTACAACAGTATGAAAAAGATGAACATAAAATACTGAAATACAGGAAATGAGCAGTAAATTAAATATCCAATTCTAAAACAGTTTGGACGCTGTGTAAACTATAAATAAAAAACAGAATCTTTTATTCACAACTGAGATATTTTAGGTCATTTTGAATTCGATAGCAGCAGCAATGTTAGGCCCACTTGCCTGATTTAAAATCTTGGAAAATTTGTCATTTTCCAAAAACCTATGAACCTAATTGTATATACATCTTCACACACACACACACACACACACGCACGCACGCACACACACGCACACACACACACACACACACACACACACACAAATCCTACACATATCCTGCTATTTTGGTACCAGTGTCAGTATGTAGACTCCTTATGTCTGTAATGCTTAAATGATTTTTGAGTTTATAGCACAGTAGGACTTGTAATTCAGCTTTTCAAAATCCAGTCGCGGTCATATTGGAATCCCACCACGTGGGAAGAGCTGCTTCCCACATGTTCCAGCAGAGGGCGCACATGTGTTAAAAAAGCCCGGGCGTCTGAGCAGAAGGATGCTCAGCCAGGTGTCGGCTGCAGCATCAGCACCGCTCCTCCTCCAGTTCCCTCCTCCTCCTGCTGTCCGCAGTACCTCTCTTTCTCTATCTCTCTCTCTCTGTGCGTCGTTTCTGGCAGCCAGGGAGAGTGGGGAGGGAGTGGAGAGACGCGCTGGCAACTCCTGCGTTTTCACCGACATTCTTCAATGAATCAGCAACAGAGAAAGCTGCAGGTAAGTCGCACGACTGTAAACACCCCGTGCTTATTTTGCTCGGAGGGCCAGCATTGATTTCCCGAAAAAGTGTCGCACTTATTTTGCTCGTAGGATTTCGGGTCTTGCTGCCGGACTCGGTTCGTCCAGCACCATCAATACAGTTTGTTGTTGACTAGGCCCGCATCACGGCAATGTGCGAAGGAATTTAGCTCGACTCTACATATAAATAGCTGTAACCTCGAAGTTGAGCCACAGTGTTGGAGAGAAAGTGAGGTCAGAAGGAAGAGACGGTGCGATGGAGATGGATGGAGCAGGTCAAGTCTCTGTGGGTGTTGCTAATGATCCATTATAGATTTTAGGATTTAAACCAGATCCACTGCACTGAGAGATGACATGGACTTGAGTTTGAAGGATTTTGTTTTCATTTCTCGCCAAATGTTATTTATTGATGAGCTATTTTTTGTGCAGTGTTTATAGACTTCAAAAGCAAAGACTCTCACAGCTTTCTAATACATAACATATAATTCTTGTTAACTGATAGCTGAAAAGCTGCAATATTTTAAATTTCTTGTCGCGTTTGCCCACTCAGGCTTAAGCTTTTTACCAGTGAAAGTGGACAAATGTACATTTATAATACAAAAGTTTGAAGTCTGATAGTATGATTTCATTTCTAAGTCCACGAGTGACACTGCTGCACACTCATGCAAACACTAATTCTTCAGTATCTTGACTGCTTTCAAGGAATCCACGGCACAGAGGCTGTATTGATACTTCAGTTCCATTTGCAACACTTCCCATTTTCTTAGTCTCATTGTTGGAGACTTGAGACCTGACAAAAGAAAACAACAGATGGAACAATTAAAAGTGACTGAGGGATTTCACGCTGTTGTTTCAATTGACCGGTGTCGGATGATTGGATTGTCCTTGAGGCAGTTGGATGGCGGTGTCTTTGTTGGGGTGAATCCCCCTTTTTCAGCTGCTTGGCTGAAGTTCTTGTACTTTTTTCAAATACGTTCTAGTTTGCAAGCGTTAAAGTTCAGAATTTGCCTGTACTACTGAAGTATGTAAACAATGTGCCTCTAATCTGACAGTTTCCATGTAAAAATAAGTGATGTTTTCAGCATTTATTGAAATTGTCTGCTGCCACTGTTGATCTCAGTATCAGAGACTTCCCACATTTATGGATCGTCAAGTCCGTTTTGCTAAATTTTATCAATCCCTTCCGATCATGTTAACGTGGAGGTTGACACTGCATCAAAGCAGGAAAGCAGATCTTACGGCCTTGGCTGTACACTGACTGCTCTAGTTGCTGCTCTCGATGCTGATGCATGTGTGATTGATTCATTACATCTGACCTCTGCTAGGTCTGAAGAGCGATCAATTTATCAGATTTCTGCCAGAAATACCACTGCCGGTTGTGTGTGTCTGACTTTGTGTGTTTTGTCTAAGCGTGAGGTTCCTATACCGTGTGTGTGTGTGTGTGTATGTATTTGTTTCTGTAGGTACAGAAAAGCCTATGAATGTAGCACACCGGTATGACCTTCAAGGTTATTTAATAGGACAGAACGGAGGAGAAGGAGGAGGAAGGAAGGGAGAGAGGGAGAAATTGAGATGGAAAGTGAACTGAAGCTGAGAAGGACATTAAAGTTGGTCAGTGTGCCTTTGACTAACATGTCACAAGTGCAAGGCTTTAATTATTTTGAAACATTTTTGTCTTTTTTTTTTTTTTTAACATTTTTGCTTGGATGATTGTGGTCTACTAATAAATATAACAGTGGTTTCCCGATAGTGGTGAAATAGGTTTAATGTAAGAAAATGATAGAAAAGGTTGCAGTTATTTTAATGACACAATTGTAAGAATCCTCCACACTTTGGACGCAAGACGCTCTGCACTTGCAAGTGCACGTACACACGCATGTGCCTTATGTGTGAACCGAGCATCAGCACACGCATTCTCGAATTCACGCTGCTTTTGTCTGGAAGGTGGCATTGAGCTTATTGTAGCTCCTCCCCTGCAGTCGCAGGCAAGACATTACAGGGTGAAAAGAGAGGCACGCCTCCCCTCATGACACACACACACACACACATACAGTTTTCCATGTCCCACCAGGAGCAGACATGAAAGACCTTTATTCACTTGTGTCAGTCAGTTTAAGCGCTCACCTGATTTTGCTTTTTTATTTTAAATGTATCTTATTTGTATATTTGTCTCATATTATTTTATTAAGCTACAGACGTTATTAAGAAACTTTATAGAATTGTGTCAATGAACTTAAAAGCATGTGTGTGATAGAAAGAACCGCTCTAGTTATCCTTGGTTAGGTCTACCTCATTAATGTTTTATGAAACTTCTCAACAGTGTACATCTATGTTCTTTTTTTAGACTTACTCCCCTCAAATAAAATCCCAGAACAGCAGCACAAGGGAATTCTTCTCCTGTGTTGTACTTTCTAGCTTTCCATTATTGAATGTATGAAAACACTTAAAAAAAGCTCCCCCCCCCCACACACACACACACTTTTTGCATATCATTGCCCCTCCCAAAAAACCCTCATCTCACCCTATTCTTTGCTCACCTCTCACTGATCCTTGGGCAGCTCTCCCTCCCCCACACCCCAGGGGTTTACCACTTGCTCATTGCACATACGCTTGCACATTACAATACTAACCAGAATCCGTCACATCCCCGCTCCTTTGCACCCCCCTCGGCACTCCGCAGCATCATTTTCTGTTTCTATATTCTCTCGAAATAAACACAAGTGACTCAGCTCGCCTAAGTTGCTCTCAGCTTCTCTTTGTCTGGGCCGTCTCGCCTCTCCTGCTTTATGTCTGACTGTGTATGTCTGCGAGTCTTGGTGAGCTTGTGGCATCCTCACAGTCCCACGGAGAATTGCACTATCATTGCACCGCTTTGCATTTGAAATGAACTCCTCTTTGTCCCGCCTCATACAGTTTCGCACGGCCAGCTATGGAAGAGTTAACATTTTTTTTTCTGCGACAGGAGTGAGGCTAGTGGGTGGAGGGGCTTTACTAATAACAATGCGGTGGTGCTGCTACCAGCAGCCAGCATGGACAAACACCCTCTTTTCTGCTCCCCTTACCTCAATAAACCCTTGTCTGGACCTTTGCAAACACGTGTTTTAATGGCACGTAGTTGCTGCTTTTAACCTGATGGTTCAGGTTGAATATCCAGAAAGGACTCAGCTTTGTTGTCGTTTTTATTTATTTATTTTTTCCTCATATTTCCTGCCTTTTTCTTTCATTTCATCTTAGGTGGGCTTTTGTTGCATTGGTCTTGCTTTTTATGTGCCCCATTCTTACATTAAAAAAAAAGTAAAATTGTAGTTTAACCATGTAGATCACGTTGCACCATAAAGTTTATTATTATTGTCTGCCCTCACTTTATCCCAGTCCGGCATTACCGACTGCATAGCCTGGTGAAATAGACAGCGAAGCGGGACCGTGTCCGATTTAGTAGAGATTCCACCCGTGTTTTTGCATAAAAAGCAAGGCTAAAAAAAATAAATAAATAAGGAGATGGTAAATCCCATAAATAGATGTGTGCATGCATGCAGACCTTTTGTTTTGTTTTTGTTTTTTTAAGCCTCATTTCCCCCCCAGTTAGGAGCTGTTTCTTTGTCTGCCCCTGCTGCAGCGATAGTCACTGCCTGAGTGTGAGCTGCTGTGTGTGAAGGTGATTCTCGTGTTTGATGATCTTTCATTTCGCATGCACTCGGTGATCACCTTGGTGCTTTATGGGGGTTTTCGGATCAGAAGTCCTTTTGTTTTTGTTCTGCCTCCCGTGTTGGCAACAATGGGACAAACCTAGCGTGCGAACACGTTTTGATGGATGGACGTGCACGTGAACCCGTGCCAGCGTTTGAACGTTTTTCATTTGGTTTCACCTAATAAATCTAATTTCTGGCATATTGTGATCTGCTGCTGATTTCATAGCAGGCGCCAAACGCCGCCTGCCTGCCCGAAATAAGGGAATAAATCAGCTTTTATTGGAGATCATCTGATATTCTCATTCTCCCTTATTCACTCATATATGACCACCCACTATGACTCAAGATCCTGTAGAAATCCTGTTACCGATTCCCCTGCGATATAGACTTATTCCCCTCCCCCGGGGTACAAAAAGGTGTCCAACTGTAGGAGTAGAGTGGGGGGATGAGCTGAGAGGAAATCATTTGGGCAGATGTAGCCTGCTGATGTGCCATCTATAAGGATGAAAATGAGATTGATTACCTCACCCTGCCCTTATTAACTCTGTATTATTGGGATGAAAGAGAAGAGGGGAGCAAAAGAGACAGAGTTGTTGAGAAAGGCATAACACCAAAGAACTGAAGGGACATCGCTGAGCTCAGTGTTATGAGCTAAATTCTGTCAGCGAGGCAACGCTGGTTGATGAGGAGCATGTCTGTAAGCACAGCTACAAAGAAAATCGGTGCAAAACAACAATCAAGCAGCTGGAGAAGACTATTTCTGGTTATTTTTGCAGTCCTGTTTGCCTCGCTGTTTCTGTGTGATGGTAATCCCTTTGCTGTGTGCATACTGGGTTATTGCTCGGTTCACACATATAAACAGTCGAGCATACTTCAGTGAATCATCACTTGTGAAATTCTGTCTGCAGGCTATCTATTGTGTCTTGTGAAAATGGAGCGTTTAGCTTATTTCACTCCTATTTCTGTCTGTGTGGTTCGCAGACAGCAATGAGGTGGCGGCAGTGGGGTTGAAAGGGAAGGAATGGATGACTAATTCTTAGCTAATTTGTGAATAGGTTTTTTCGCTAAGCTTTATCCTGCTGGATGATTACGTTAAGGAATGCAATATAAAGACAGTATCCTCCGCCCCCACCAAATTAGCACAAATATGATAGTTTTTATGTCTTACAGCTCCACGGCTCTAGAACACGGCTTTTCACAAGTTCACACTCTCCAACATGTTCATTGTACAAGGACACACAAGGGTGATGTCATTGGTGATTAATTGCATGTATGCAAAGACACAGCATG